GCTCCGCGCGCGCCACCTCGCGGGGACCCGGCCCGCCGCGCTGCGCCTGCGCGCCCCCCGCGCCGGCCGCCCGCCCCTCCTAGCGCCTCCCAGCCACCCCGCCCCAGGCCGGGCGCCGGGAAATGGGCGGGAAGGCCGCGCGGCACGAGCCCGCGCCCCCTTCCAATCAATGCCGCCCGTCGCCCGCTCGCGGCTTCCCATTGGTCAGCTCTCTCCGGAGGCGGGGAGAAGGGGGCCGGGCGTCTGCCTGCCTCTTGGCCAATCGCCGGGCCCACCGCGCGCGCCCCTGGTTGCCCCTGGAAACCCAACAGCCGGCGTCTGGGATCCGCCGCGCCAGCCGACCTGGAGGGAGGATGGACCGCAGCTCCGAGCACCGTGGGGACCCCGGGGGGGAAGACGGAGATGTGGCTAACCTGTCCCCCAAGCTGTCCGGGATCAAGGCCACCTCCGGCCCCCACTCCCCGGCCGAACCGCCGGAGCCGGAGCCGGGGACCGTAGAGGCTTCGGAGGGAGGCGCCGCGGAGGACGAGCCCGCCGAGCCCCGGGAAGCGCCGGCGGCCACCGAGGCTGTGGACCAGGCGGGACCCGGGGAGCCGGAGCCGCCGGCCGAGGCTGAGACCGAGCCGGAACCCGGGGAGCCGGCCGACGCCGGGCCTGAGGAGACAGCCCAGCCGGGGCCCGGAGGCGGGTCCGCGGAACCGGAGGAGAGGGCGGAGGAGGAGGGGGAGGAGGAGGAGGAAGAGGGGGAGGAGTCGGAGGAGGGAGCGGAGGCCGCGGCAGCGGCGGTCAAGGGGAGGAGGAAGAAAGCCCCCTCGGCGGTCTCTGTGCCGCTGTCCACCACCGGCCCGGAAGAGGCTGCGCCAACCCGGGAGGCTGAGCAGGAGGAGGGGGAGGAGGAGGAGGAGAGCGAGGAAATCAAGGCGAGGGGTGTGCAAGGACGCCCGGTGAAAAGCAAGGAAAAGGAGGAAGGTGAGAGACTGGACGAGGGGGAGGATGAATGGACGGAGGAGACGCAGAAGCTGCAGGAGCACCAGCTGCGCGCGGAGCTCCTGGAACAGTACCAGTCGCTGGTGGTAGAGCGCAGCAACTACCAGCGTTACAACATGTACCTGCAGCACAAGATCTCCGAGGCGCTGCGCAAGAAGAAGGGCCTGGATGCGGCCGAGGTGCCTGACAAGCCCATGGAGCCCGAGGCCCCAGAGAAAGAGCAAGCATACCTCCGCCATCTGGCCTTGCTGGAGGAGCTGAGGAAGCAACAGGCAGACGACCTGGACTGGTATCAGCAGGAGCTGAACCAGCTCAAGAAGCAGTGCAAGGAGGTGCTGTCCAGCGTGGAGAAGGAATGGGCAAGCTTCCAGGCACTCAAGAAGCAGGTGGTGATGCAGGCCATGGGCAGCTGCCGGATGCGCGGCGGTCGCCAGGCCGCTCTGCGAGAGGTGGAGCAGATCCAGGCGCTGGAGGATAAGAAGGAGAAGGAGATGCGCGCCTTGAGGCTGGAGAACGTGCAGCTAAAGCAGAGCTTGGTGCATTTTGAAACGCGGACGAGGGCCCAGGAGGACCTGACGGAGGGGCTGCTCCTCATCGATTTTGAACAGCTGAAGATTGAGAACCAGACCTTCAATGAGAAAGTGGAGGAGCGAAATGAGGAACTTTTAAAACTGCACAACAAGATGACCAACAACGTGCAAATAATAACCCACGTGAAGGAGAAGTTACACTTCGTGGACATAGAAAATGTGTGCAAAAAGACACAGCTTTTGGAAATTGAGGCTCAGGTGGCCCTGAGGAGGGACATCCTGACCAGGAGGAAGCAGGTCCGGGACAGCCTGCGGGCTGACAACATCAAGCTGAATCAGAAGTGCGGGCTTCTGGGCAAGGAGCTGCTCCTTCGGGACATGGAAGAGAAGGTGGACAGGACAGAAGTGCTCAACCAGCGCCTAGAGTCCCTGAAGCGCCATCACGCTGGGCTTACTATGTCCTGCAGAGGTATGAAGCAGAAGATCAGGGAGGCCAAAGCCTTTCTCCCATCTTAACACCCACGATCAGAAGAGTCAGCAGAACGTCTTTGATCTCAGCAACTTTTAACCTTCGTTAACTTTTATTCTCCACTTGTGGCCCTCTTTCAAAGGCCTACGGTGTTGGGGATGATGCTGTATTTTGTATTAATCTCATCATTTCCAGCTCCTAAATTAGTCCTGAGCAAAATTGGGCTAGCCGTCAATTTTACATGGGGTGAAGTAAAACAGGCCCAAAGAAACAGCTGTGATGACTTAATGTACCTGACTTCTAGAAGCCTTGTCGTAGCTGAGCAATTCTGTCATTTCAATGACCTGATCCTGAGGAAAACTTCCTCGTGCATATGTCAGAGGGTTCAACAAACGGGTGCGGAACCAAGAAATGTCCTGTGCATTAAGCTAATCATTAAATTCCCTTTGAATGTATTAAACTGTGTAGTTCTGAGTCACATCCTCAACTCAAAGCTCACTAGTTTCCTTCGATGAATCTAAACTTGTTTTGTTATGTAAGCAGCACTGGCTTTTGGGTAATAAACAAGATGAGGGAAACGGGAGAAATGATAAATAGGAAAAGGAGCTGAGGTTCTGTCCTCTTTCCTCTTTCCACAAGAGGAGGCTCGGTCTGCTTGACCGTTAACCCTTGCTTCTGGCTCAACGACAGTCTGCAATTCTTAATATATTTATTTTTTTTAAGATTTTTATTTATTTGCGAGAGAGAGAATGAGAGATAGCATGAGAGAGAAGAGGGTCAGAGGGAGAAGCAGACCCCCTGCCGAGCAGGGAGCCCGATGCGGGACTCGATCCCGGGACTCCAGGATCATGACCTGAGCCGAAGGCAGTCGCTTAACCAACTGAGCCACCCAGGTGCCCAGACAGTCTGCAATTCTAACGAAACGTTTTCTGGGATCCTCTCAAGAAACGCAATTATCTATACAAAGACATGAAACTTTGTTGTCCGTAAGCCTTTCGTTCTTGGCGAGGTATTTTTGGATCCTGCCTGGCAAGAGGCCCCCTCACTATGCAGGTGATTTTACTCTGTATCAAATATTAAAGTGTCTACTACTCCTTGTGTTAATGTAAGAAACACCTGATAGGTCTACCTCTTCCGTCCAGAATCAGTGATTCCATTTCCAGTTTCCTTTGGTGCTTTTGGAGCTAGGGGCTTGGCTTTATTTCTTCTTAGCTTTCAGTTGAATTTGGAGATGGGCAGATTTGGGATTAGAAGTATTCTCCCATCCCTAAGCTTAAGGAGGTCGTAAGAAGGATGAGCTGGCTTTGGGTGCCGAACACCTGTAAAGAAGGACAGAAACCCCTCTCCGGGCAGATGACGCAGTTCGTCGTGAGAAGGTCACGATGACTTCAGCTCCTGGGGCTGCGACTGTTCTCTAAGGTGTGTTCCCTCCGAAGCCAATAAAGGCTGATTAAAATTCCTTCCCTAACTTTTACAGCTTGGACACACTCGTTTATAGGATCACACTTGTCAAACCGCACAAACATAACAATGAGGGGAGCACAAAGCATTCACTTCCCGCTTCCTCTTCCACCCTCCCCATCCTTTGCACTTGTCCTCCCTTCACCCCGTTCATCAAGGCCAAAGCGACGTAGCAAATCGCCAGCAACCAGAACTCCGTTTTCTTTGTGCCTCGTGCTAGGAGCAGCAGAGACCCACTGGGGTCTTCGGTGGCTGGGAAGGCTTCCGAGTGAACCTGGCATCGTGCTTGGTGCCGCCCCCCAGCTAGCAGCTTTCACGGCCGGAGTGTCTGTCCCTTGGGCTCACTAGCGGGGGAGCAGGTATCTTCAGCTGACTTTGACCCACTGGTAATTACCCAGGCCGCACCAAGCACCCCCTCATCAGCCTTGAACCGGGTGGACAGGCCTCTTGAGAGCAGGAGAAACAGAGATTGATGAAGCTGGCATTGCTCTAAGCTGCAAAGTTACCAGTGTTCTCTCAAATTACATTCTCCCACGCTAGAGATGTTACAGTTCATTCGAAGATAAATAATCTTCTGTTGATGACTTCACAACGGGGTTCCTTCTAATTAAATTACAGGAGAGCTCTTGATCATGAAACAGCAACCCATTCACGAAGTGCTGCTTCATTCAGCTCGCCTCTGAGGAAGAATGCCACAGACCCCGCAGTCTTACTGACGGGCCCCATCCCAGCCTCTGACCCACTGCTCTGTGACTGTGTGCGTAGTTCTCTGGGCCCTGGGGAGACAGAGGCCTGGGAGGTGAGGACGGTCATCCTCCCTCGGAGCCAGGACGATGCCTACCTAGCCCATAATCGATGCTCTGTAATTTGTAATTGATTATTAACACATCAACATCATAGCATTCTCATTTTCTGGCAAAAGTGTTGCTCGAATGCCTAGGATAGGCAGACGCTGCTAGTCCCGTATCAGACTTGAGAAATAATCACAGGCAGAAAGAGGTTTCCAGAACTAGAACTGATGAGGCAAATGACGGTCCATTCTAGAGAGACCGCCTCCAGGGAGCCTGCCTCCCTCTAGAAGATAAAGAGGGGGCGGCGCGGCTAGACTAGAGACCTCTGACATCAAAGGCTTTTAAAGATCTTGTCAAAAGAGAGGGCCTGCAGAATGCACGTACAATACAATCTGAGATGTTACACGGCACGACTTCTTTTTAAATGGGTCGGAGTTGGAAGCATCCCCTTTGGCGTCACAGGCGGCTTGTGTGGTTGGGCAGCATGGGCGGGAGGGAATCAGGCACCATCTGCATAGAGCCCAAGGCATCGAAAACACTTTTCATTGGTAGGTGGATGTCGTTTCTGGTGGCTTACCGCATTCAAGATTTTTAAATGACATTAAGTGGAGAAACATGCTTGCTTTTTTTGTTAAGTGGGTCTGAAGCCATAATTCAGATGTTTGCCATTCGTCGGGGATGCCTGTCTGATAAAATCACAGCAGAGTTAATGCACCCCGATCTGCAACTTGGATTTTTAAACTTGAAGACCGTCTTCATGTGAGAAGGATGAGTCATGCAAGGGGCATGATTGGGAAGGACTCCGGGGGGCCCTGTGGCTGAGCTGAGTGGCCAGTGGGGGCCTCAGGCTGGGCACTGCTCCTGCTCCGCACCTCCTGCTTGCCCACTGTAACCCTGTCTACACAGGCGTGGGTTTGAATGAATACATTTCCACCTGCCCCAGCTTTTTACCTGATGCAGGCTTCTAGTATTTCACCCAAATGATGCCAAGGTTGAGTACAAAGGTGCATCCAGGAGGAAGACACAGCGTTGCACTTGCAAATAAGGGCTTTGGAATCAGGCTGACCTGGATTCCAATCTCTTCTGTTTGTGACCTGGGCCAACAGTCCACCTCTCTAAACCTCAATGTGTTCCCTCGTAAACTGGGGTAAAAATTTATAAAAGTCATTATATGAAAAAAGTATCTCTTCCCTAGGTGGTGAAATTAGGATTTTTATTTTTTGTATTTCCAAATTGTATACAAATGAACATGCAATTTTAATAACTAGGGGGAAAATACCAATTTTTAAAATCCCCAAATTCCCCCCAAGAGTTCAGATACTCAAAGTTTACGTGTCAAGAGCATGATTCTCTCTCTGGTGATGTGTTTCTTTTAATGACACAATTAATTCAGCAACCTATTTTAATCCTCACAAGCCAGTGGACAGATGCTGGTGCCCTTTTTAAGCTCTGGTTACAGAAAAGAAACATGAGGCTCAGAGAATTTAAATACTCCTGATCTGACCTCTTAACTAAAGGACACCTGAAACAGGAGTTGTTTTTGGCTGGAGCAGTTTCTCCCGGGAGCTCTGAAGTGGGGTTGAGAAGCCTCAGGAACGATGTCTAGGAACCGAGAGACGGGTCAGGCCAGGGGGGCGGGGGGGCGGGCAGGGGTGCAGTTAACTCGCGCCGTCCAGGGAGAAGACTACTGCCCCTCCCTCCACAGCCTCAGGCATTCTGGGAGAAGGGGCCTTGGTGTGGCCAGGCCCCACGGAGCCTTCTAGAGCCAGCTGGCTGCAGGCGAGGCGGTGCTCATGGAGGAGCCTGGGCTCCTGAGCCAGCCCAGTGCTCCCGGCCTCTCGGAAGGACCTGGGGACGGTGAGCTCCTGTGTGGGCCCCAACTGAGGACTTGCCGTGTCTCTGCTGGCCACGCACGCCCTTCCTCTGATGACCAGTGGCTCCTCTCAGGTCCAACTCAGTCCCTACCCTGTACGGGGGCAGAGTCTCGTTCCCTCTCTGGGCCTTGGTGGCAGGCTCCACTTCCCGAGTGGTGGTTTTTGAACTGTCAGCCCCCTGGCTTCTCTTGGGAAAACGGTCCACAGCTTCCACCCCAAGCCTGGTGCAACCCAAGGTCGTCCCCGAGCTGGCTGTCAGGCGTGGGCCGGTGCCTTGCACACAGGCATTCGGGTGAGTGAATCCAGGCCTCACCCCAAACCCTGCACTTGGGAGTTGACGTCAGAACGAGAGGAGGAAGGCTTCCAAAGGCCCCAGAGCAAAGCAGTTCCCTGGGGAGACAGGCAGCAAGGGCTCAGGGGCCACAGGGAAAGGGTCTGAACCCCGGCCCCGCTGCTAACTGGCCGCAGGAGCCCAAACAGATCGGATTTCTGCGTCACACCTTTGGAATGGGGACAGTGACAGAGCTGCTGCGGAGAGAAATGAGGCCATTCACAGAACTCGGCCTGGGGCCGGGTATGGGTGCAGCAGGCAGCAAGCCCCGGGACACGGCCACCCCCGTCCACCGCAGCACCCCGGCCTGTGCCAAGTGGAGAAAAGGTAACAGCGGACCAGAGCAGCCATGGGAGCCCCTGGTGAGAAAGATGGGAGCCTCGTGCCGGGGGCCGAAGACACGGGAGCGAACCCCCTGACCGGAGCCGTGCAGTCTCTGCGGAAGAGAAGCGGGGGAACCAGTCACGGGACGGAGGGTGGTAGCCCAGCACAGGCCGTCGGCCTCACTGCCACAGGAGGGCCAGCACCATCTTGTTTCTGCAGGTCAAGAAGGGATTCTCCTGGGGGACCAGGGACAAGAGAAGTGGCAGCCCTGACAGCCCCCCCCCACCTTCTGGCTGGGCCACCTGCCCTCGGCCGAACGGCTGGCGCCACACGTGAGCACTCGCTCTGACCGGCGCCAGGTGACC